GGGAGGGGCCGGGGTCGGGGTCCTGCCATAGCAGCGATGCCGGTGTCGGTGGGACCCGGCTCCTTGAAGCGCCTGTTGATGCCCAGAGCCCGGCCTCCCCTCAGCCCCTGACCCCAGCGTGCTTTGAACTTATTTCAGGTGTTTCCCCCGCTACCCCCCACCTTCCCCATCAGAACTTTCTGGTCCCCCGGGACCGCCGGGCTCTGGGGTTCGCTCCTGGGAGCAGCCCAGGGGCTCCTGGCTGGTAACGGGGCCTGGTGGGCATCTCCCACTCCGGGCGGTCGCAGCAGCACCCGAACAGCCCTGGGAGGGTCGGCAGCTGCCGTGTCCCTGGGAGGAATTCCCTCCTCCATCCCGGGCAGCGCTGGGGTTTCCACCCCTGCTCCGGCAGCACCGGGGTGCGTAAACCCCGGGAGCGGGTGGGTGTCATCGGCTGCGTGCCGGGAGCACCCCGATTCCCGGCAGATCCCGGGGAAGCCGTGCGTCCTCCTGCGCAGCCCCATCCTCGTGCCGGTGCTGACCCCGCTGCCGGGCAGATGCCGGCACACGCGATGCAGGAGACCCCCGCCTCACCTCACCTCCTCCCCGCATCCCGCAGCGGCCAGTTTGCCATTGTACGAAAATGCCGGGAGAGGAAAACGGGTCTGGAATACGCGGCCAAATTCATCAAGAAGCGTCGGCTGTCGTCCAGCCGCCGGGGCGTGAGCCGGGAGGAGATCGAGAGGGAGGTGGACATCCTGCGGGAGATCCAGCACCCCAACATCATCACGCTGCACGACATCTTCGAGAACAAGACGGACGTGGTGCTGATCCTGGAGCTGGTCTCGGGCGGTGAGCTCTTTGATTTCCTGGCGGAGAAGGAGTCCCTGACGGAGGAGGAGGCCACCCAGTTCCTCAAGCAGATTCTGGACGGGGTGCACTACCTGCACTCCAAGCGCATCGCCCACTTCGACTTGAAGGTGAGGTCGGGGAGGTGCAAATGCCCCGTGCTTGGCGGCTGGGGAGCGGGGGGGAGCATCCAGGCTCCTGCGGAGCGGTGGGGCTGGCTCTGGGATCTCCCCCTGCTCGAGGCACGTGTCCTCTCCTCTGGGGAGAGGAGCCTGGAGCAGCAGAAGGCTCCCACGGGCGAGCGTGTGGGGGTGAACGCCGGCTCCTCTCCCCCCGCAGCCGGAGAACATCATGCTGCTGGACAAGAACGTGCCAAACCCTCGCATCAAACTCATCGACTTTGGGATCGCCCACAAGATCGAAGCTGGGAATGAATTCAAGAATATATTTGGGACCCCGGAGTTTGTAGGTGAGACCCGGCTGGCGGCGTTCCCGTGGGGCTCCGCTGGGCTCCGCAAGCTTTGGCTGAATCCCGGCGAGATGCCCGGAGCCCTGGTGCGGCAGGCTGGGCAGTGTCCGCGGGGACAGGCTCCTTTCCCACAAAACAAGCCTCTTTTCTCCCCTTTTTCCTTCTGAAGCCCCGGAAATCGTGAACTACGACACCCTG